ACTGGAACACTGCGGTGGCCAAACGGTGGGCGTTCTCACTCGTCGGGGTTTGGCCATACTCGTTGATCAGCGACTCCAAGGGCTCCCCCAGCAAAGACGTATGTAGTAAGCGGAGGATCGACCGGGTGAGAATAGCAGCATCCGTGGTGCGAAATCCCGGAGTCACCTGGACAGCTTCCACCAAGTCAATCCAAAGGAGCTTGTCCTTGTCGTTGTCCTTGACGACGATCACGTTCGGCACGCGGGGATCTCCATGGATGATACTCTTCTCATGGAGCTGTCTGAGCAGGTCAAAGAGGTTGACGACTTCCTGTAGTGTCGTCGGTCGAGGCAGAGGAGCCCCCACTGGAGTCACCAATAACGCAGCACCCCCTGGAAACTCAACGAAGCCGTGCTCGAGGCGAGCCGTCAAACCTGTGAGCTCGGCATTCGTCAGGGCCAACTCCTCGCGAAAGAGAGCAGTCTTGGAGCTTGAGTCGACAAGTTTTAGCGCGAGCACCTTTTTGTCGGCTTTCCGCTCGACCTTGAACACACGGCCATGGGCACCACGACCGAGGAACGCGCCGCCCTCCACGACGTCCACCCCCAGAGCCGAGCAGGCTCTTGTCAACAGACGCACCCACGGAGATGTGTGGTCGGACACGAACGATTCAAAGAGCGCCTTGGAGCCTCCGTCTACCCAATTGGCCTTTTCAACGCGTAGGATGACAGTCTTCAAGCTCGTGATGAGCTAAAACGAGCGGAGGTCGAACAGCACAGCACTTGCGGACCCCGTTGGGAAAAGACGGCGTAGGTACTGCACCACTTGGCCAAACGCAGCGTCGGTTATACGGAGCTGGCTCTCAAAGAGGACGACGCAGTCCATCAATTGCTTTTCTGGCTCACCAAATCGAAACACATGCTCCGACGGGCGATGCACGTGGTCCATGGGTGCATCCTTGGCATGCTACATTCCTGGGTGGGTCGCAAATCCATCTGGTTTGATGTTTGTATTTGGGGGCAATTGTGGTCCCTGAGGCAGCCATGCAACGTGCTCGCTGTTGACGAACACCATGTCACAGTTTGCGAGCGCGGTGTTGTAGAACGGAGTGATAAACGCGTCGAAAGCCTTCTCCAAAAATATGCCGTTGGCATTTGCTTGATCGGCTGGCGACCAAAACGCTGGGGCTTCCTCATTTGGTACAAAGTTCGCGATTGCCTTGCGCTGTTCCAACCCTTCAAGACTTTTTATTCCCAGAGCTGCACTCGAGCAGGTATCCGGGGTGCCGGCAGCTATAGTTTGTATCGCTTCCTCTTGACGACGAAGAGACTCTCGAGTCTCTTGCGCAGCTTCCTCTTGACGACGAAGAGCCTCTCGAGTCTCTTGCGCTGCTTCCACTTGACGCCGAAAAGCCTCTCGCATATCGAGAGCGAATTGTTGAAACTCCTCGCGTGGAACTGCAGCAGCTGGAATGCCCTGGACTGTTTGGGCTTGACCTTGTTGCAAACTAGCAGGCCGAACGACCCCCAACACGTGGACGTGCTTTGTCAGCGGTGGCGGATTGGGTCCAAAATAGTACGCAAGATTGTCCGTGGGCTTCATTTCTCGGATAGTTGCCAGATACGCGTCCATCACTCCATCCGATGTCATCTGGTCCAAGTCTTCTGCGGACAACCAAGTTGCATCCTTCAACGACTGGTAGAGCTGGATGTCCATCGCATTGCACGATCGCAACGAGGGGTTCTGTTCCTTGATCTGGGTTTTGAGGTCCGTCACCAACTCATTCGCATCGATCTTCACGGCGAAAGGCTCCCGTCCGCCGACAATATGGCAGATCAGCTTGAGCATTCTTTCGGAATGGAAGCTGTAAACACGAGAACCTCCCAAATCGGATACATCGTTGAGTTTATATTTACTGTAACAGTAACGAGAACTATTATCAGTTTTTGCGTTTAATTCCAGCTTATTTTCAATATATTTCCACCAATCTCCGTTATATTTCACCGAATCCCCAATATAATTCACCCAACCTCCATTATTTTGCGTTTAATTCCAGCTTATTTTCAATATATTTCCACCAATCTCCGTTATATTTCACCGAATCCCCAATATAATTCACCCAACCTCCATTATACTTCACGCCGATGTAATATATCGGCGATATATTTCACCCAACCTCTGTTATAATTCAGCCAACCTACGGTTAATTCCAACTTTCGAAAATATAATTCACCTAACAGTTGTTATAATTCGAGCTGGGATTCTAGAAAGATCGAAGCGCGCGAAGAGTTTCGCGCGCTTTCACCATTTTTGAATCTGCGCTCTATGGAAGAGGACCACAAACTCCGGTACATCTCTCTGTTGACCGCTAACATGACGTGTCAAGACGCTTCGTTCTTAAAACTAGGGCCGTACTCCCCGATTTTGAACCCGATCGAGAATATGTGGCCGGCGTTGAAGAGCCGCATTAAGACATCTTTG